AGAATTAGTAAAGATTGACTAAATTTATTTAATAAGCATTTTGGCTGTAGAGCAGTGTAATTTTTAAGGAGCATGAGCTACTTTTTATTTTAAGAAATAAAAAGACTTGATTGGTTGCTTCTCTATATGGTTGAGCTAGCTTCTGGTTTTATTTTTATATTGAACTGGGCTTTTAGGCAGTGGCCAGAGGTACTTAGGGCTTAAGGGTTGGCATCTTTTTCTGTCCTAAATCTAAAATAATATAGTTGAACTGAACTGAGTTCTCTTTATAGTATTTGAAAGTTTTTATATATTGATGTTTGTAGGTTTCTGTACAATGGGAGAAGTTATTGAAGTGGTGGTATCTATTCCACATATGTTTATTTAATGCTATAAAAGTTATGACCTAATATATTGTTTTGTTCGCAGCGACATCAAAATGCTGCTTAAGCAACATTTCATACCTTGTTGTAATTTTACATGATGACAGTTCCTCAGTGCTACAATATTTTTATTTCTGAGTGGTAGCCATGTTAGTCTGTATCAGCAAAAAGAACAAGGAGTACTTGTGGCACCTTAGAGACTAATATTTTTATTGTGTTTTTGTTGTTTCCTTACAGTTCAACTTTGTGGGAAAACTTTTGGGTCCACGTGGTAATTCACTGAAACGTTTACAGGAAGAAACATTGACAAAAATGTCTATACTGGGAAAAGGCTCCATGAGGGACAAAGCCAAGGTAAATCAAATAGCTGAAACATTTTAGTGTGTTGCATACCATGGTATGTGGCTTCCTTTAGTCTTCCCGGCACGGTTTGGGAAAGTGGAAAAAGCCCAGAAGAACCAGAAAATGAATATAAAACTAAGCATGTGTGGACCAGCTTCAAATGTGGTCTGTTTTTCCATATGAACCCTCAGATTCTGCAGTGAACTCTATGCAAGCAAACCTCTAAACGTGTGAAGATAGTGAAGTCAGTGGGGCTCAGCACGGGCTTGTGGGTCTGCCCACCACAAAACTCATCTCAGTATTGGGGCCTAAGTCATGAACTTTCCAGAATGTTAAATGTCTGAGGAAATAATTTAATCACAGACAGACCTAAAACTTGTAACATGAATAGCCATTCAGAGGCATTTGAAATAAAGACATTTATTTCATGATAAACAAATGTAACAGTAGAAGAGAAAAGGGGGAAGTTATTTAAAATCAAACTGTCTCAAAGAATGCAGGGAGGAAAAGTAGACCACTGGCATATTGTGATGGAGTGCCTCCCAAGAAAATAATTAGATACTATGATGGTGGCCTTCAGAAGTGCATAGGTAGAAGGTGATGTCAACTACACTTAAGTGTGGTTGTTAGGGTTGCCTGTTAGGAACATCTTTCTCTCATAAAAAAAAAAGCAATGTGTAAAATATTCATATTCCCACACAATATAGTTTGCACAGTCTGTTTAAATACAACTTTTGATGCACTTTATTTGCAGGGGTTATATTATGTATAGTTTTTATTACAGCAGCACTTTAAGATGTGTGGCTTCTTATTAGTATCTTATTTATTAAATGCACTGTGCAAATGTGCAGTAAAATACATTCTCTATCTCAAAAAGTTCAAAATTTAGCTATGTCAAAATGTAACAGATGGATGAGACAAATGGGTGTGGGGAGATGAATGAAAGGGTGAGGCCAAGTTTACTAGGAAAATATGGATTAAAATATTGGCTTACTGATTTGGTTCTGACATTTGGCAAATTTTCTTCATTCTCTCTCTCTCTCCATTTTCTGATGGAGCAGATGCCATCTTGGCATTCTTTTTGTTCATTGGTTTGTGCATTTTTTGTGGTGTACCAGTATTATAACATCAACAGATTTCCTGGGGCAAGGTTTAGCTGACCTATAATTCCCTCTCCTGGCTTTACATTGTTACAACAAAAATATTGTTGGTCTTATATGTACAAAGGTCATTTTGGTTAATTTCACAGCAAAAGCAATTTGTTTTTTGTTGTAAAGGGAAAGGCCTAAGCCAAAAGGTTCAGATCCAAAATTATATCTCCGAGTTTGTGGGAAGGATGTCTGAATCAGGCATTTAGTTCAGGCTCATTTCTATTTTAAGAAAAAATGATATTTAGAATCTAGATATCCAGGGTCAGGGCCTGTTATATTAATTTAGATGGAGTATATGTGCCAAAAGTGTTCACATAACCCAGTCGCTGTCCAATATTAAACAGTGTTAAATAAGATGAGGAGTTTGGTATACAAAGACCTCAGCCTGCTTAGTATCATGGCAAACACACCATTAAAAATCCATGTAACCTTTATTAAAGATATAGAGAAGAAGGAAAAACAGCTAAAGCACTTAAAATATAAAGTTGTACAGTTGTATTTCAACAGGCCATTATGCTGGTACAACCCTTATATACATGAATATAGCATTTTGTAATACATTTTATCATTCTTGTATACTTACATAGCATTCATTTTTATAAGTGTACAATATGTCTTTTTAGTGATTTAGACTTGCATGATAAATTCTTTTTTTTAAAAAAATGGTATGGTTTTAGTGATTTCCTTTCTACAAAAACAATATGTTTCCCTTCTTTGGGCATAGATACAAATCCGATTTTTGTAGTAGGTCAGAAACTGATTCTCAGAGAAATGTAACTATAGAGGTGTCATTTAGTAAATGAGTGTCACATAGGGAGTTGCATTCCAAAAATATGACCACAAACACAATAGTTCTTGTTGGTCTGAATCATCTGCTGTTGGTTGCTGTCAGATAATCATCATCCAGACATGGTCTGGCAATTCCTGTATAGTAGTATTCCTACTAATGATGCCACTAGCCAGAGGTACTAGAGTTTCATTTTCATGATCAGCAAATTCAAATGAAAAAAAAATCAAGTATGTATGTATTCTATCACTGATAACAAAGTCTTGGAGGTCAAAAGTAGGAGTTTTGCTCTCGTTTCTTAGACATTCATGATGTTTAGCAATATTACATAAATTTAACAAAAGTACATACTTTTTGTTGAGTAGAGTGTTCTGAAAGATCAGCTGGTGGGATGGCAATTTTTACCTAAATGCTTTCCATGGTAGTATATTACTGAAGTCAGAATTTTTGGACCTTTTGCTGCTGATCACAACTTTCCAACCTGTCAAATAATGGTGGACTAAAGATGGAAGATCCTTAAATCTGTTCTTGTGTTTTTTTGTTGTTGTTTGTTGTTTTTAAAGGAGGGTAAAATAATATTTACCTTGCTTTGTAAAGTATTTTAAAATCTGTGGATGAAAAGCACTAGAAGTGTTATGTGCTAAACCAATTTGTTTTTAACAATCAGATTAATGACTTCAGTGTTTACAATTTTAAATATTTTGTATATTAACTGTAATACACTGCTCTCATCCAATAACCAATGGGCAGTATTGACAACGCTGAAGAGATTAAATAGTAAAGACTGATTATGAAATCTGCATTGAATTTAAGATATCTGCAAGAGGAAGATCTTAACTTCTGAGATTACATTTTTATTTTTCTTAGGTATAATTTAAAAATACAGATTACATTGTGTGCAAGGAAAAAGCACTTAGCAGTGTGTGAGTGGTTATAGTCCTGATCGGAGCAATGTAGGTTGTTTTATTTTAAGGGTCTAATACATCAATTATGTTTTTCTGAAAGGTCTAATACATCCAAGCGCTGTGCACACTACTGTTATCAGCTCTGATTATTAGGTTTTTAAACCCTTTAGCCAACAAGTTTCCTAGGGATGAAATTTAGCATATGAGCTCTCTGTATGAGCAAACTTTGCTTATTGTGATTTTAAACAAACTTTGTTGAAATCTACTTAATCACATTATTAAAATTAGGCTGATTAAATCCCTTTTGTTTTGTACTTTGAACCTGATACCACCCAAAGAATCCTAGATATTGTCCATCTTTCTTCTGTTAAGTCATATAGTGTTATGCAGGATTATTCACTATCATATATTTTCCAGTGGTATGTTCACTCTTAAATTATTCAAGAGCTTCTGCTATTTCCCGAGGGAGACTAGTATACAGTCTAATCGTTCTCAGTTAAGTTTGTTTGTGATATCCAGCTTACATTTCTCAATTTTTAATTTAATTCATATGCTCTCACCTGTACCCTTTGGACCATGCTAAATGACTCTTAAGCAGAAATTTCCTTTAGCATTTTGAGCAGTCTGATTTGTTAAACTAGCTTAAGAGGACTCCCCCACCCCCCTTTTTTAAAGTTCTTAGCTAGAATGTTGTATTCATTGAGGGAGGTTTTTACTTTCTATTTTTGTGGTTCATTCATCATTTGTATTGACAAGCTGATGGTTAAGGCTGACAAGATTCAGCCAGCTAATTATGATGTGTTAATTTTCCTGCTCTGAACGCTCTATCAATAATCGGATTGCTTTGCTTTTCCAACCAATTTTGCAATATTCATATATTGTGTAAATCTGACAACAAAAAGATTACCTACAATAAGCTAGAACTGATTGTCATAACTTTAACTTATAATTATGACCCTGAAGGAACAAATAAAAAAGCTTTAATCTCTCATTAAAACTACTATTTGTGGACCTATTAAAAAAGAGATGTTCGAGCACTATTCATTGCTTGTTTAAATGGAATAAATATCAGGAATAGCATACTTTTTAGAGCCTCAGATATTTGACAGAAAAACTTTCAAATCAAATTATATTGAATACTTAGATTAGCAGAATGTTTTACTGCTTGTCTAATAGCACAATGAAACCATACATAGGCTGTTAGCAGTGCTATTTGTGTTGGGATTTTAAAACACATTGTTGTTTTTCCAATGCTTATTAAAAAGTCATCAAAACAAATTTCAGGCATAATTATGATTTTTAAATCGATGACGTCCTTTAAGCCTCTAAGCATTTCCAGAAATTTCTGTTTCCAGAAATGTGAGCATACACAGATTGAACTGAGTGCTCATCCACTTAATGAAGATTATGCACTCTCTTCAGCCAGCGCAGAATTAGGTTGGAGCAAGAGGACTAAATAGAACAAAACCCCCAATGTTGAAACAGTAAATAGGACAAAGATTTTTTTTCCATGTTGCTCACAAATACTGAAAGTTTATTTCAATCAAGGCAAAACAATGGAAACAATTCTGTCTGTTAGAGGAACCAGTCATTGTCTCAAGGTAGAAATCTTATCTATTAATTTTCTCTTGAGTAATATATACTTCATAAAACATTCTTTGATAGGCAAAATAGCAATATTGTTAAGTTTCATTGACTTTGAGAACAGTAGAAAATATTAATTTATAATTTCCAGTTGTGTCCATTTAGTATGTGAAGCAAAAAGTGAATGAACTGTATGTACATGGCAAACATCTCAAACACAAATTCATTTTACTTTTATTGTTCTCTTTTTATGATTATATTTGTTACAGTGAAATTTTCTGTCCTTTCCAGGAAGAAGAGTTGAGAAAAAGTGGGGAAGCAAAATACTTTCACCTAAATGATGATCTGCATGTTCTAATTGAAGTATTTGCCCCACCAGCAGAGGCATATGCCAGAATGGGACATGCTTTGGAAGAAATCAAGAAGTTCCTTATCCCTGTTAGTATTGTAATCTTATACTGTTATTTACTAATTCTGCCTCTTTAATGTGCAATCTAACCTAAACCTCTCTCTTAGGTTTTGAAGGATGTGTACCTAACTCATTTGAGAGATCATTTGCACTAGATGTGAATGAAAATCTTTAAATTGTGATATTCCCATGTAAAATAAAACATTTTAATATGTGTATATTAATAGGAAGGCAGCATGATCATTAGTGGGGAGGACACTGGACTGGCAATCAGGAAACCTGGATTCTATTCCTGGCTCTGACTTCAATGTGCTGTGTGACATTGGTCAAGTCAGACCAGCTCACTGTGCCTCAGTTTCCCCATATGTAAAACAGGGACTGATACCTTCCTTTGAAAAGCACTTTTAGATGTATGGATGAAAACCGTTATATGTGAGCTCAGTTATTTATCACTGGTGGTATGCCTGTTTCCCAATAACTCATCCTAATTATATTTTTGATTTAGCTACTTCTGTTTTAAAATTGAATATAATTTGGAGTTAGCTAATTATCAAAAATACATTGTCAGAACAAATTAGGTAGACATTGAATTGATTTTTAAACTTCAGTTTTATAATCAGATTTGGCAATATAGTTTTAAAGGAACTTTTGGTTTCTTAGTAGTAAAACACAAGGAGATTCAAATGGCCCTGGTAACTTGGGTTTCTTCATGTAGGCTGTTAAGGAAGTCCTTAGAAAGTATGGGAAATATGCAGACCTATGATTTTGCTTGCTTTTAGGTGGGGTAAGATGCAAGTGCGAGCAAATTTGCATTATAATTCAAAAAGTGGGAACCATAGAAAAAAATATTCTCCAATTTCAAATGACAACTGGGTGAAGGCAAATTAGACATGGTTACCTTATCTGCAAATAAGGATACAATATTAACAGTTATAAGTAAAATGCCATAGATAATAGTAGCTAGATGATAAGAGGGTTATTTGTCTAAACATTGTTCTTATTTTGCTAGATCAAATTATGTTTAAGTTAAGCTATAATCGCTTTCCGTAAACATATGCATGAACTTTGTTTTCAAATAATTACAAGACAAAATATTTTGAAAAAATGAGTTACTCTCCTTTACTTGCCTGCTAAGATCTTAATTCAGGTGATGTTTTCTTTGGTACAGATGATTGTGTTATGTGTTAGAGAGTACCTGAGCTGTTGCAGGAAAACACTGAACTCTTACATCAGATCTTAGTAGATAAAGAGCCTTCTTTAAAGATACTACCCACACAGCATTCTTACTCTTGGATTTTTTTTCCAAGTGTGAGCTACGGGAACTTAATTTATTTGTCATCACTGAGAGTCTTCCTTGAAGTTTCATCACTTGCTATTGTTATGTATTTGATTTTGTTCTTAAGTGCAGCTGAGGCAGAGTTTGCTCCCACTTTCAGTCCTCAGCATTGAGGTTTGATACACCTACATGGTGTCTTTTTTTTCATTGAGCCTGTTATGATAGGGATGCTACTGAAACTGTGCGTATCTAAAGTTCATAGAGAGTGTTAGTGTTCTGTGATGCATGTAGAAGACAAACTTTACAATGTGAGTGACTCACTGCCACCACATAGTGGAGATAAGCTCTTTGCCTGTCTAAGTTGATGAGCTACTCTGACAAAAGTTGGCTTCTGGTGGATGTTATGTTTAATGGTTATGATTATGAAGCTTGAAAGGAGTCATTCAAGCAGGTCTGTGTATCTCAGTAGTTCTCTCTCTTCTGGACCATTGGGGTACAAGCACAAATTCCAGTGCTCTATTGGAACTTAGAGCCACAGCAGAATACCATTACCTGAAGCAGAGTGAACATCTTAAATGTCAGAGACACACTGGTGGTGCCTGGAGTTGGGGAGGTTGTACTGTTGCTCCAGAATGGAGTGGTTTTGTTACCCCAGAATTTGACCAAGCTAATTGCAACCATATTGTGTGCATTTCAGCCACCATGAATTAATGAAATATAGAACACTACATAGTTAAGGTTTAATTTGAATAAGCAGGGCTTCTGGAGGCAAGGTCAAAAGTAGCTCAGGGTTGCAGTTTTCACTAATCAGAATGGGAGGAGACTGAACAAATTGAGACTGAAATAAAATAAGTGGATGGGGACCTTGAGTTAGGGCGCCTTTGATATAGAAGCTTATTATGACTAAGATTGTTAGGAATGTTTTGTTGATAAGTAGTTTGTTAAAGTTAGGAGAACTGATGACCCAGTCGGCGTCACTAGGAGGTATGTGTTTTGTAAAAATTAGTTATCAAAAGACTAGATAATAGAGTGTACTTTAGAGCGAGCTCTCTGAAGCTATCTTGAGAGACTTTCCTGACACCATACTCCCTGGTGGGGAAGCTACCAGCCATCACGGACCTGCTGCTAACTACTCAGTACCATCTCAGATTCTGTGTAATTGCTTGGGATGTTCTAAACTTATTCCTTGTGTCTGTGTGTGCTTAAATCTAATAAATAGTAGTTTTAGATCAGAGCACCCTTACTTGTATCAATTTTTCATCATCCGGAAGCGCTGTGTTCCCATTGATTTATTCCTGATACCACCTGGAGTGAAACAGTGAAGTTACCACTGCTTTGGGTTCTGAAAACCCTGGGTAACAGTATGTTGGTGACATACCCTGGTGGAGGCACCATGTGCAAAAAGAAATGAAAATTCAGTGTCTTTGAAATTGGTACAACTCAGCAGCGGATCCATACCTTGAAGTGCCTCTGGTGTGGAGAAGATTTGTTTTTTGTCACGTAAGGCCTAGATGCAGCATGGATGTCACTGGGTATATGGAGCAGCATCTAGTTTCCAGTTTACTTTTGTTGTCTATTGGTTAGGTATTATTTAGAGTTTGCAATTTAACATGATGTGTTATTTCGCTGGTCAACTACCTCTAGATCGGTCACAACATTAGAGTGAGGGCCCTGGTGTATCAGAGAGGGACTCGCACGTAGGGAAAACAATTTCTGATTTTGTAATAGTTTTATTAGCACAATGAGCAATATCACAAACACTACAACTCAGCAAAATAGATAATGCAGAATTCAGCATTCATGTACTCACCTCAGCATTCATGTACTCGCATCATTCTTTGTGGGGAGCCTAATAGTAGGTGAGATGACCCACAAGTTGCCCTTGGACTTGTAGGTTCCCGGAAATCTCACAGGGGTACACAGGTAGAGTACTAACTTTACAATAAGTTATGACAACACTCCCTATTCCTCATGCATATGCAATAGGGATTTCAACCTCTTTTCCTTACCTGTACTACCTCACCCTACTAATGTTGGGTGCTCTTCTCCCATAGGTTACTAGGCCATTTACCTCAAGCTTATTAGCATGTATGTTTAGTTACCATGGCATTATTATCTGCTGATGCTTCTGATTTAAAATATTAAAAGCTGGTCCAAACAGGTATGTTGTGGTTACCTGTCAGCAGTTTAGGATCAATTATTTAATTCAGCACTGTATCTTGTGACAACTTACGATATAGGGTCACTTACTGGTTAGTTGATTATGTCAAATCTTTAGACTTTAGGCCTCAGTTAGTTTAGCTAAGCTATTGTTTGTGGTAGTACCTTACTCCATACCTATACCTTGCCTAGCATATGTCTGTATATCTATAGCAATAACTGGCGGCAGTTCGATGCTCTAAATGTGAGGTACTCCTTGGAGCATCTGTTTCTCTTGGTTGGCAGTACCTTCCTGTGCGTGCCCTTCCATAGGTTTCTGAGGTGAGAGACTCTCTTTGAACTTTGGCAGTCTTCCAGTATGTTAGAGATTCTGCATCTGGCGACTCCAAAAGTTCAGACTCTATAAAGAACTGTACCTCAGCAGCGCTACAATAGCATTGTGTATACTTGTGAAATCCTTAGCTGTAATGGCAGCCTGCCTGCATGGGCTGGGAGTGCACATGGTTTCTTATCTTGATGGCTGGCTGATCAGGCACACCAGTATGGAAGGAACCACTTGGATTTATCTGTAGGTATTTATAAAGTACCTTATCACCACTGTGTCTAAGCACTGTACTAAACTTGCGTCAAATCTTGAATGAATAGGAGACCACACAGCGGAACTTTGCACTTAGAGAGTTTGCTCTCTCCAAGAACAGCTACTCTTGAATATTCCAGAGATGAGAGCAATCAGTCATAGAATATCAGAGTTGGAAGGGACCTCAAGAGGTCATCTAGTCCAACCTCCTGCTCAAAGCAGGACCAATTCCCAGCTAAATCATCCCAGACAGGGCTTTGTCAAGCCGGGCCTTAAAAA